CCCAAAAATAGGCAAGACTATAATTCGAGCAGAACGATCGTTCACAAAAAACTGGGACATCACTAGTGCACATTGAGAAGGATATATTTTGTCTCTACAAATTATAAATAGATAAAATGAAATATAAAAAACAAGAAGACATCGCTAGATGTTGAATTAGTTCAAATTCTCTTATCAATCTACGCGGGGTTAGCTTGATCTTCGATCATCCTAATTTTCTCTGGATTTATCTGTCAGGAGCGTTTTGACATTTTGTCATTTTTAGAGGGAAGGGGACCAATTAGCTAATAAAATGGATGACTGTTTATCCATCCCAACTGTCTATCATAATATTTCGTTAATTTAGAACAACGTGAAATTGAATACAATGTAACGTCTGATCAATTCTCTAAAAACAGAGTTCAGCTTCAAATTGCATTTCAAATATAGTCAAGTTGAGGGAATTATCTGTGTGACGAGTTACACATCTTTCTTCCCTACAAAACATTCGAATTCCACAGCATATATTTATTACACCATTTTATAACTCGTGGCTTTTGGATTTACATTATGTAGGGTTTTTACAACAAATAATGGGCCTACAGTTCATTACACTGCATACGTGACGAATTATATTATGAGAATGATTATGTGCCAAGGGAATCTAACAATTCTGTGCTTATCACTCAATTCGGTAATAAATTAAAGGTGAGGTATTTACACATTGTAGATAATAAACGAAAGGATATTTTTTTAACTAATTTTGAATTATTTCAGAAAAATAAACTTTTCCATTAGAACTTCACTATGTCGTTAACGCCTATCAAATGAAAGGTCACTGTGACTGTCATCGGTTTCGACTAATAAACGGCCGAATCTAAAACAATAGCACACTCGAGAATTCGACAATGCAAATTTAAAGTCTATGAAATATCGATCGATAAGAATCTCTGAGGGTGAGGAGAAGTGGAGTGAAAGACCGTCAAGGGTTGCTCTCTAATTTAATGAGAAGGGCAAGCTCACTGCACTACAAAGTTGCTCACTAAATATTTCCTTCCTTCTGGCGCCTCAGTCCAATCAGCCCTCACCTATAATTCAACAAGGCTCACATACAATAACTTGATTGTGCCGGTCAAGTATGAATAATGAATTATACACTTACTATGATTTCCGCCTACAGTCGGTACACTCAGCACTATTATGACTAGGTAATATATATAGTTTTTGTTAATGAACAAATCAAGGCATTAAAATCATATACCATTGCCGAATCCTTTCATTAAAAATCTTTGCTGTTTTGATATCATTTTGGGTCAACAGGAACTACTTATCCGTTAAATACAAGAGTCTATATTTGGTTGTTGCCTGTTTGAAATTGATATAGCTAGAGATGAAATACAAATAGAATAGCAGATAAATTAGAGATAGGAAGTAGATCCGTGCGGAAATGCCGACGCTCGAGAAAGCTTGAACTAAGCCATACATTCAATTATGTTAAGCTTTTTCACTATCTTGCCTATCGAAACATCTTTAGTTACAAGAGGCTAAACTCTTTTAAAAATAGGTCGCAATCTTGCATTTCCAAAACAGAACATCTTTCTCTCGCTCAAACTTTTGTAAATACCAATGATTTATCTTCAGTTGGTTGGAAAAGAAAGCCATTATAGGAGTTGGCCGAGTATTAATAAAGCCAAGGGTATCAACCGAACGAAAAAATGTTCTAATCTGGTAAAAAGAACTAACTCAAAGCTTAAACGGAAGAATAAAACTGGTTTGGTACAAATGGCTTTGCCTCAGACCAATCTCTTTTCGCACCACGAATCAAAGACACTAAGTAAACACGTAAATTAATCTGAGCTTTTACATGGTACAAATAAAACTTCTTTTGGTTCGTTGAACGTAATTCATTTCTAAAAACAGTTTCTAACTATTGAGATTTAACCAAAATGACAATAGATTCACGGGGCTTCAGTGGCCGCAAAGATTAGGGGCTGACACAGCGCTCATCGCTATAAGGTAATGGCCCCGGGTTCGAATCCAGCAGCCCTGCGTCCAATCCGACATACATACAAATGGGCTTTTTACAACGGGCTACACCGGCACGCCGAGGGTTCATTAAAAAAAAGAAAAAAAGGAAGGGTGAGGGAGGGAGAGAGGGAGAGAGAGGGACAATATTTTTCTGCACAATGAACACGGCGAGTTTACACGCCAAAACACATACGCCATGGTCAAGCGTTTAGTATTTATGGCGCCGTATTTGAACGAATTTTAACTGTAAAAGGCAGACAACTTATTGTACAATAACTATCATTTTATTTAAACGAGGTTACGTAACTTACAATCCACATTTGTTTGGTAGTCATAATTGACTGTACTATTTTAATTAATCATCCTTTTATGTCTACGGTCTTGGTCGAGGAGAAAAAGTTACTGCCATCCCGCTCGTGACACTAACGTTTTCATCTCAACCAGGACCGGACCTCACATAAGGTACAGTATAATTAAAGAAATTTACGATATTAAATAGTAGATTGAGTGTAAATGAATCTTTTATTAGTTTAGACCAAAACATTTTTGCCTTTTTATACAAGGGTGTTTCAACTACAAGATTATATGAACGCGATGCTTGTGTTTAAAAAAAAATTTATAAGTATATCGGGTTGGAGTACAGAGCTGCTGGATTCGAACCCGGTACCATTACTGTACCATTATTTTCCTTTCGAAATCATCACACATTTAAATTATTAATATCAAAAAATAAAACAGTCAATTTCTGGAAACTGACAATTTTTAAATGAAAATATAATCGTTCTTGTTTCTACAATTCTTTTTCATTACAGACTTCCACTATTTATGAAGGATAGAAGCCGTTTAACAACTTCAATGTAATTGTGTGGATGCTTTAATAGCATCTGTGTTGATTTGGCAGTGACAGGTAGGTGGCCCCAATCCAAGATGAAAAACCTTGTTCATCGCTCATTTAACATCCTGAACAGACGGGACATATCAAAAGGAAGAAAAACACTTTCTTCGAGGACTAAAAACCTCAAGAACCAATGCCCATCCAAAACACACACGTGGGCGTTTATATAACGTCTTACATGTATATATAACATGTAATATTTTGAATGAAGCATGTTGAATGAAGTTTTTAAAAATTGAAAATATGACGGCGGCGAATTAAAAAAAAAATCAAATTTTATACGTACATATCAAATTTTGAGTTGTGTTATATCCAAGATAGACATTACATGAAAAACGAAATGATCATTTTTAAAAAAAATAAAATTCTGATTCCGAAGTCAACGATGACACGAAAGGTTGTACTAGCTTACCGACCTAACTTCCTACTAAACGATCAAAACTACTCAAAGTTGTCTAAGTGTCGAGAAAAGAGTTAAAAATAGAATCCTGCCCTCGACCTTTAAAAGATGTGTGATTTTTCAGAATCCTGCGCTCGACCTTTAAAAGATGTGTGATTTTTCACCTGGCTTCTGGTTTATAGTTATATATTATAATGGTGGTGACTTCTGGTTATTAGTTATGTATTACATGTTTTATAATTGGTGCCATTACCAAATAATGTATACTTAATTGGATCAATTAAGACCTACTCGATCAATACAAACGTATATCGATATAACACAGGGATCATGTTAACAGTGTAAAGTTTTATAAAAATGTGTCGCGGGAGAAAAACAGTTACATAAGAGAAAACAATTGGGATTACAAAATGCTTAGATATTAAATTCAAAATTTACTGTAACGCTTGACAACTAATCATTTGCTCGAAAGGTTACAGTTTACCCTTATAAAAGACGTAGTAATACTATGCTCTAATAAGAAAAGTTCCAGTAGTGTTCAAATCCTAAGTACAATATATCCTGCCATAGGTGTCCTATCTCCGCTCTGGTTTAACAATAACCAAAGAAACTGTTTCTAATCTGTAGAAATCGGAAGAAAGCCATGGAAAATTATAAATCTATTATCGCGATTTTTTTTTTAAATTACATTTCACGTACCCTTTATACGCCTGCTGCCGGAATGATAATTCTGGCTGGTATTGATCGTGTCGGTGAACCTACAGTCTGGGCGGTTATATAACCTACGCACAGACTGATGACAAAGCAACAATTGTTTTTCTTTTATATGCAAGTCGACGGTTAAAACTGAAAATATTTTATAGTTTATTTACGTATTTTTGGTCTTGCAGTAAATTAATAACACTGCCTGAACGAATAGAAAGCTGTCGACAATTCCGAACCCTAATTCGACATTAAAAAACATAAAATGGGTATTGTCACAAACTGTGTTCGAGTTAGACGTGAGAATTTTTGAGACGCAAGCATGCAATTTAAGATCTAATAGCACTTTCGACGCAAGCACGCTCCGCGATGTAAGAAACCGAATAAAAAATAAAATCTTCGTTGAACGTGAATTTTAACATTAGATATAATTAATAGATTGGAAATTTTCAATGATACAATACGACCGATGTTAAGAGGGATACACAGGAATTTAAAAATTCGGTTTTTTTTGTTTTTTACTTTTCAGTAATTCGTGAAATACCTTAACTCTCTTCGGTTAAAAAAGGCGAAAAAAAACAGTTCTCAGAAAAATATTAATTTATGCCATATTGGAGTTTTAATGGATTATTAAATGCATAAATGTTTATTTTAAAAGTCAAATTAATGCTAAGGAGGTTAATAAAAGGGAGAACCCACGAACGAAGATTAATTTGAAATTACTTTTTTGCCGACGGCAGCGACAGGCAAATGTCATTGGGTAGGGGATTCGTGTAAAATTTTGTTGGAACAAAAATAGAGTGGGGGAAAAAACTTGAAGAAAAATATTCGTCGCTTAATATGAAAAATGGCCCAGACCCCTCGATCCATGAAAAGTCGCGGACCGTAGAGGGATAGAGATTAATAGAAGTTTGAGGGGAGGGAAGCGGATAAAAACGTAGAGGTGATGTTCATAGTTAAATATACTACTAAAATAGAAATATATAGGACACATACCTTAGCAAACTCTATTTTCAGAGTGCAGCATCCCGCGTAAATGTCAGCTCCGTTAAGCGCTTCTTTCACCCGTTTGGCCGTGTCAATACTGTCGAACGTGCAAATAAATTCTGCTAAGGAAAATATTGAAAGAAGACAAAAATATTTGTCAACAGTGAACTGGATTCCTGAAACATCAACTAGCATACATTAACATTGAAAATTTTAATACAAACACAACCACATGCTGTAGATTCCAAGAAATGAGTTAACCCTTTTATATGATTGATGCCAATCTGTTACAGAGGAACGGATGTTTTTCTTCCATCCCACGTGTAACCTATCATTGTCCATGACAGGGAAACATTAAACCACTTGCTAGCTATCAAGAGTTACTTTATTTTGAGAAATAACGATAACTGTCTCATATGAACTTTATGAAATATAATAGATTTTAAAAATAACTAGATTTTCAAACAAACGATATGGTTTGTATATATTTATCGGGACACACTTTCTTTAAATTTTTGTGATACGGTTAACAAATAATATTTAGATTGATTACTAATTTTTGAACACGAGATTTGAGAAAAAACAGCCAATGTCACGGATGGGATTCAAACCCGAAGACCGTGGGTTGGCAGAGACTTTATTTTATCTCAAATCTCGTATGCAAAAATGAGTAATTACAGAATGGATATGAAACCAATAAATCCGTTATATTTGATGTTAAACATCCGGATTATATGTTTGCTTACAGAAACACGAATTAAAGAAATAAAATACAACCTACTTGTAACTCCTCATTTGTCGTACATAATATTTTAAAATACTTCAAAAGTAAAATCATTAAAGCCACCAAACATTTAAAATTGTGAAATTTCGAACACTGCTCCTAAAAAACCTAAGCAAAAAACAACATTAAACAACAATCAAAACACTACAAGTTCCCAAGGCGAGGGGAAGTAGCGCTTCTACTTCTAATTGTCTATTCTCAGGGAGTGAGAATTTTTCGGCTAGATGGCCGGCCCGCCCGGTGGGTAATGAAGCGAAAATATGAGGCTGGGTGTATACGACGATTCCTCTTTCATACCGGAGATCCGCCACATCTCACACTCGCCCCTTTTCTTTCTAATTAACCGTCAAAGATCTCGAAATATGCCGGCTCTCGGTTTATGACAGTGTCCCCACACCTGTGAATTGGGCACCTCGTAACAATAATGACAGTCTCTATGACGATAATAGGAGATAATTCACGCGTTTTGAGGTGTTTGGGTTAAATATTTTATCATACGTTTTCGAAAGGGAAATCGATTAACGTATTTAAGGAATACACTAATTAATATTAATATTCTGGATGGACAACTAGGGCGAACGATATAATGCGTGACATCTGTAATTGTTATTTTTACCTACAATCGAATATCTCGGAGAAAAATTGCAGATCTAATTTTAGGAGATATAATGTTTCCTGCCCTTTGTAATCCCAAGAGAAAACTGCCGGCATTACATGCAATATCTAGAGCCAATTTTAAGCGAGCTGCGAGCATTTCTGAAAATCACCAGGAGAGAAGAGGGGCACAATGTAATTTCAGCTTATTTGTTGAATAGCAAAGCATTTCCTGACTTGGATGGTAACAGAAATTTTTCGACGGTACTAAAAGCCCTGTATATCCCTTACAAAACGTAGTAATATATTTAAGGCAAAAATTTACATTCCAATTGTTCAGCGTTTGAATTTTTTCCGTCTAATGCCGAAAAAAATTGCAATAAAGGAGGGCCAGGGTCATATTTTCTCTTGGGTACACTTTATGGTGCAATAGACATGACATCCGGCTATAAAAGTTTTTTCAGAGGGGTATCGCAACATTCTTTCATGGTAAAATGTCCTCACTCGTTTATCTCGCGGAAGCAAAACTTTATCTGTACTCATAAAATCGAAGCCTGATTAATTAATAGGTAACAATAATTTTAGATTAAACGTTTGCTATTATAAATATAATCTCTTAAAACAGTCTGTCTAATCATTAATATTTAAATCTGTATTTTCGAGGACATAATATACAAATTAAAGAAGCAACTAAACTATATTATAAAGTCAGTGTAATACTATAATCGTTAATTGATGTAATGTAATATAAAATTAACAATCTGGTACATTCAAAAGCTTGTAAAAGGTTAATCCCCTAAATTTATAATAGTAATCTTTAGGCATATCAACATTTTAATTCATTAACTCGCAATTTAGGAGATGAGCTTATAAAAATGCTTTGTGGCAAAACGGTAAGCGTCAAATAAAGAATTATGAAAGGAGACCCTTATAACAAGTAAGAATACGAGCTGTTAAAAGCTTGTTGGAACCACAATTATTTCAATGTATCTGAACCAAGACCTATTCACACTCCATTTCGTAATGTGAGGTTTAACGTGCACTAATTTGTCTTGATCATGCTCAGGGTTGTCGAGGTATTAATGCTTTATTTTATAAACTCATAAGTTTAACCATAGATCTGCAGCACTGATTGTATGGCAACAGCTATGATTTCAATAGGAAAAATAGCCCAGGATGTAAAAGGACGTAGATGCATTAAACCGTTATTACCAACGCTAAACCGGAAAATAGTAGCTGTTCGGCAGATGGAAGGGGGATTTATACATTTTAACCGAAAAGAAATAAAGCTCAAGCTTATGTGTTATAAAAAAACTAATAGGGTCTTTCTTTATTTCACAATTACGAATATCAGGCTCTCTCGGTACGGTCTTGATTAAAAAAACAAATTCAATTGTTAGTGCCCAGCTTTAAATAGGACTACAAACCGGCATAATTAAGTTTTTAATAGATGGATATCAAATTGCTTTGAAGACCGGCTCAATCCCAGCATTGCCAAGGGCTGTTTCTCAATCAACAAAAAATGCGAGAGAGGCGCAGTAGTTAGGCGGTGGGGCAAAAATCAAATAATATTGATATCTCAAGGATGGAACAGATCGATATTTAATTTGTGAAAAGGCAATATAGCGTTTTACTAATTACTATTACTCGCGTAATGAAAAGAACACAGCTCGCCAAAGTATCCTACGGCCGAATAAAAATATAAGTTCATTTTTATTGTCCTCCTTATAAACTTTCGTGTCGGGGCGAGAACAAGTCCGTTTCATTGTGCGCACGGACAATGTACGATGTACGTGAATTATGAAGTAGGAGAAGTCTCGTGTTAATGGTGGTGCGAACTATTGTCCTCTTTAAAGCAGAAACACCATACTTGTAATCATCGATCAAAGTATGTAGATGTGGAAGCAGCTTAACGCGACAGGATGGACAATAAAAACCCATCATTTTCAGAAGAAATAACATCTGCTAGGCGAAGAATAGCTGAATTAATACGACGGTGAATTTAACTATCGACAGCATTCAGCTATGGTCGACTTTGAGCGAGATCTTAACGCCCAAAAGTTTTTACATTTTTTTGGAATATATACATATAATAAACCCCTATTGTTCAAATTTAACTTTCAATTTTAGGCTCTGAGTATGTGAATATCATCCTCAAATTAAACGTAAACGTTGTCCTCAGCGGCCATTCCGCAAACGAACAACCGTTGTTATAATTTTTTGAGAAATACGACCGGCCCCTACAGGAAAAACGAATTTATATCGCCCGGCACGGCTGAATCAGAACCAGTTAATTTTTTCCCCTACGACCTCGCCCCTTTTCACTTTATCTCTTCAACCATCCCCTGAAGGGTAGACATTGGAAGTGACACGGGCCCCATGCCACTCTTCAAAATCCGTCGACCGACTACGCAGTCCGTCTTATCGCCATGTTTTAACATATTTAACTTGATTCGAATGTAGATATGGAGGACGGATTCGACCAAAATAAACCGAACCCGAAAGCCCCAATTTTACTGAGTCGATTAAATTCCGATTTCCACTAAACAATCTTGTAATTAAAATTGTATTTTTTCAAAAGTGGCGAGAAATGGGCGATTGCATATGTTTCTGTCAAAGTATGTTTAATATCGTGACTTGAAAATGATCTGACCCAATGACAGTTTGTCCATTAAGATTGATTACTCTATATGTACATTGAACATGTATAAATTCATTTAATAAAAAAATGTACAACTTTTTGGTATGTCTATTATTCTACCTATACACTTCTGCGTTCATGCGAGTGGGAAAAATAGAATAGAAAAATATACATCCACACAAAACAGGTTCACGAAAGCCCAATGTAGAGGATGGATTTTTTATACAATTTTCATCTACATTTTGGTTCTAGACTTTCACGTCATAAATAGTTTGGAATCATGCTTCTGATTGCCAGAAACCAATTTTGAAACTTTGTATAATAAACCTTGTATAATACAAGTATTCTACAGCAAAGGAATCAGAAGTAGCATTTTAGCCTAGCAAAACAATAGACAAACCTAAGCCATTTCATTTTATTATAATTGTTAAATATTGGTTGGTCATGGTTGATGGTAGACAAATAAAAAGATATATATTAGAGAGAGACAATAATACTAGACGGCCAATGTTTTAGACACGATTTGTCTGTTGTTGGTTTAGAACTAGACACGTGTTAGTTTCACGTCTCGAGAATCGTCAAGGGATGTACGTGGTTTATGAAAATAGTCGTTGTTGGACAGGAAAGAGTTGATCCCACTTGACGTTGATTTACCGTCGGTAGAGAAATAACAAATCAAGAACGATCTACCAATAACTAATGTTTGTACTTTCTTCATATAAATAGCTTCAGCATTTTTTATGGTAAGGACGAGAAATAATAGACTTAAAAATCTGCCAACATTTTGATATGGATTTATATGATTGGTTAATAATCCAACCCTAATGATTGTGTTAACGTTAGCATTTACTGTTGTCACTATTTTAGACAAGTCACGTAAAGTCCTCAAATATGTTCAACGTTTTGAAATGTCTTATCTTACTACACTTCTGCATTCATACGATGGGGAAAAAGATTTTTTTTAAACTGCTGAAATATCAAAGGAAGACTGTCTCGGAGGAACATAATCCTACATCTTCTCTCCAAAAGCGCTTTTAGGTATAGTGTTTTCATTCGATTCATATGAATCCATTTCTACCTTCAAAAC